CCCCAAAACCCCAAAACCCCAAAACCCCAAAACCCCAAAACCCCGTATTTTCAAATATTTGATTAATAAGAAAAATGAGAAATAATTTAAATTTTCATATTAAGAAAGATGTCAGGAATCAAACCTATAAATTTCGAAAGACACGATATTGGAGCTCGCATTAAGAAATCAAAAGCTCAATTTATTTGGAAGTTTAGTTTAGACTCATAGATGGTGACGATTGAGTTGATTTGTAGTCATCTTAGTGGTAAGAAGAAGGTGTTTAGAGATGGCAAGTGTATATTCGATATTCAAAGATTCGGCACATCATTTTAGTATCCTTTCTAGATCAATAACCATATGCTTAACATCATTCAACATGGAGAAATGTTTGAACTCAGAATAGACAATCAAAGCTTCCAACATCTGTTTAATCAGGATAAAACTAGAAAGGCCTTTGTGTTTGATGGAGAGGAAAACCCATAATAAACCAATAAATTTGATAATTATGAATCAAATTTAGGAAAAGATCGAAGAGAGGATGATTATAACATTAGTAGCTATAAAGCAAATGAGAATAATGATTATGGGTATGGTGGATATAAAAAAGGCCACTCTGATGTTAATCCTAATTGGAATAATAATAATAATGTTAATGGTGGATTTGATTCTGACAATATAAGAAATAAACCATATGACAGCTATAGTCCATAAAGAGAAAATACTAAATCGAATAATTCTTAAAATGCCAATAGAAGTAATGCAGGCAATAGTAATAATGGAGGACTTACATATTTCAGCAACTTTGACCAGGGTGTGAAATTTAAGAAAGCTGAGTATATTAGTAAAGCAGATGGTGGAAATAATGGGGATAACTTACTAGACCTTGGCTTTGGTGGGGGTCCATCAGGCCATTCATAATAAATTGGAAATCAAAATTTTAAATCTAATAACAATATTGGGAACAATAATTTCTTTGATTTCGATTTCAATGCCACTGCTAATTAAAATTCATCAGCTTAGAATAATACTTTTGACTTTGACTTTCCAGGTGGTCAAACTTAAAACACTAACAGCAATATTAATAGTAAATAATAGTAAAATAAACAAGCAGCTGTATTTGATTTTAATAGTTATAACAGCATCAATACAAGTACATAAGTTAATCAGTAATAATAAAAGCAGCAATAAACACAGCCCTCAGTGAATACCCTTGATGATTTATTCTAATCATCACAACCTTAACCTTAGAATTCTCTTGATGACTTATTCAATGCCAGTAGTGTTCCCTAAGTTAATAATACAAATTAATCACTTAATTTTGAAGAATAGAGAAGGATTTAAGAATTGATTTAGACGGGTTACAATCAATAGTAGAACTTAGGAGCAATTAGATAAAATCAGTCTTAGTAATAACAGCAACAATTTGTACCCAATCCAATGGCAAATATGGGTTCAAATTTTAATATTTAGTAGCAATAATAGTATCAATAGTAGCAGCAAAATTTAGGAGGGTTTTAGTTCAATAATTTCTAATTCAATAATGCTAATAATTAATAAATTGGAAAGGATAAGGAGAATCTTGAGTCAAAGCTTGTTAACCTAGATTGTCTTGGTGGTGGAGTAAGTAGTAATAATCAAGGCTTAGGAGGTAAAAGTAATTAAGATCCTTTCACAGATGCATTCTCCAACAACACTAGAAGTGCAATCCCAATGAGCAATTAGAAAGATGCCTTCAGCTTTGTTTAAAACTAAATTACTACTGATATAAGCCCAGATAATCATACACAAACCAAGTAAAGATCTAGTCTACTTGGAAACAAAGGTGTAATCACCTCAGATCAAATGACAGTCAATTTCTCATCTACTGCTACTCAAAATACTAACATTGGGTTCGCCTAAACAACTTAGAATAGCAAAAGTAATAATGAAAATGACTTCTTCTTTGGATTTAATGCATAAGCAAATTAGAACACTCAAAACTAGCAATAGGATAATGACTTTAAATTCTTCTGATAGACAGCTAAGAATATTATTCAATCTTAAAAATTTATGCCTGAAAATTATTCTTTTAGACATGAACCACTTGTTTATTAATTATTAACTCAATCTTGTATTTTTTCATATGCATGGGGTTTTGGGGTTTTGGGG